AAACCGGCGGACGCCAGCCTCGACTTCCCCACCAGCGGCGGGCTGCCCGGATAAAATGGTCGGACGGGCAACGAATGGTGCCTGCCCGCCATGCCTGAAAATTTTCAGGTTTCGGGCATACCCGCCGTCCAAAGTTTTAACACTGTTAGACATATTTCTTTGAAGGACCTCTCTATTAATTGAGTCAGTTTTTTATAGTTATTAGAAATCGCATTAAAAAGTCTACAAAATAGATGTTTATGATACAAATTTAATGATTAAAAACATTAACATTTTCAATTTCCTTTATTCAATAAATATCAGAGGAAGCTCATATTTCTAGTAACATAATTCTATTAATTATTATGATTAGTTTCATAAGTATAAACTTTGTAAACACATGGTTACTTGTACAAGACTTTTATAGACATATTTTATATGTACAGAAAAAACTTTATGGACATTTCTCTAAGAAAAGAAAGAAAAAAAAATTTATATATTTTCTTTTTTTAATTAAGTTAATAGTTTCATTCAATCAAAACAAATATTACAAATATCAACACAGATCTGGTGATTAACAAATATTACAATCATAGATCTGGTGATTAACATAAATAAAGTCTCAAATGAACTGTTATAATATCTACAAAAGATCAATAATGAGAATTCTCTTGTACACCCTTTTTGATTGTCGTGCATGTAACCGCAAGTAGGAAAAAATTGAGTTTTACAAAAAAAAATAATAATAATTCTTCAAAGTTTTCAAAATGTTCCCTGTCCCCAATATATAGACTCTATAATAATCAACATGTTATCGGGAATCGTTATTTGCTTAAAATAATCTAGATCTTAAATTCAAAAGCTACAAATCTGACAGAAAATTGCACAAAAACACACAGAAATAATAAACCTAAAAAATTTACGACAACCAGAACAAAATTTGAATAGGCTAAAACTTATCACCATATAAAATGAGACTTATGTAACAACTTGAAAACTTAAACAAGTTTAATTATGTTAATTGTAATTTATTGTATATTTAATTTGATTTCATTAATTAGTTAAGAATTTTAAAATATTTTCATAATTTATAATTCCACTGTATAAGCATATGGGAATACATACTTTCATCCTTTTCTTTTAATTATCTTTTAATATTATCTTTTCTTTTCTT